GGGAGACACACTCCCCAAGGGGACAGCTGATCATATTAAAAGTGGATGACACACCAGTCACAGCCTTCTCTGTTCACTGCAAGGCTCCTTTGGCTCACACACCCCCTCTTTGCAGGTTTCCCCTCAGCTTGCCAGCTGGGCAGCCAGTGAAACCATAGAGCAGGAAACAGCACTGGAGGGTAGGAGTCATCAAAGCTTATGCTGGTGAATCATCAAGCTGCAGGCTTCTGAGACAAAAAAAAACCCCAAAAAGCCTCCACCTACACATCTGTCTGCCATGAAGAAAATGTAGGGAAGTATGCTGATAGTTCATGATCTGTATTGTGCTGCCCATAAGCTTCTTGACTGCATAGGGAGAACAGAACCCACTGCAAACCTGAGTCAGAGCAGTGGCTGTGCAAGGATGAGAGGGGCCTGCTGCCTTTATCATGGTGGTCAGAGTAACTCCTTGGCCCCGCATCCTGTAATCCAACTGAGAGAGGGCATGGAAGTTGTGTTTAAGCCACCAATTCAGACAGGATCTGCATGGATGATGATTTAGCAACCTGGAGAGCCACCAGCAGTGCCTCAAGAGAACTAGTAAGGCAGTTCTCACCACCCTATCAGCTGAAGTAAGAATAGACTAAAGCAAATGTGTAAAGCCTTGATTAGTCAAATGTTTGGTAGAGGCAAGATAAGGGTTCATTAGCTAGCAGGCAATCTGGGCAGTCTAGCACTAAGGACCACATACAGTCATTTCTCAGAGACAGAAAGGATTTGTTTGTCTCACCATTCAACATGCTTTTTTGCTGAGTATCCCACCAAAACCATCTTCATGTTTGAATTTTATGAGAATCTTAGCTTCTGGGAGGCAAGAAGAAGGAGGGACATTACACCCTTAACTGTCTGCAAGTACAAAATTGTTCTGCAGAGAAACTAATTCTGGGATGATAGAAAGGTGCTGTGTGCCCTCAGGTGTCCTTTGCACTCAGTGCAGAGCTCAAGGGAGACCTGTGCATGGCACTCTAACTTTGAGCACCAAGCTTTGACCCTGAGGTGCAAAGCTGCTTTGGCTGTGGGACAGGGGAGCAGAGAAGAGAGACAGGCACTTCCTTCCAGAGGCGTTCCACAGGAAACAGGTCTCAGTCCTGTGTTGGGACTCTTGGCCAGGCAGCAATTCCAGCTTGGGAATCAGGCATGCTCCTGCTCAGGTAAAGGACATGGAGATGTGAACAAGCTGGTCCCTGCAGCGCGGACAGAGGTCCTCAAGAGATAATTTAAACCTGGACTTGCACCCTTGCCAACAGACTACTGAATCTCCCTTATGGCTGGCCCTGGAAAGAAAAGGGGAAGGGAAAAGTGACCACCCAGCCCCTTTTCAGAAGTCAGTGACCAGTTGAAGTTGCCTTTTACTGGTCTCCAAAGCTGTGGGAACCCCAGAAGCCAAACGCACTCCAGGGGTAGCCTCAGATGACAGCATGGCCCATCTGAGAAGGTATAGGAGCACCAGAGGGAAATACAGACAATTTCTGCTTCGGAGGAGACTCTGTCTCTCCCTTGGGATGATCCTAGTGTCTCTTTGGACGACCACATGCGTTCTGATTTCACAGGGAGACCTGGATCAGTTCTCAGGAGGAAAATGGCTTGGTAAAGGCTGAGATACAACTACTTTTTCCTGCCTTCTACTCTTCCCTGTGTCCTCATTCCTGGCACACTGCAAAGCACAGCCCCTGCCTCCTTATGCCAGAAGCCCAGTACGGAGGGGATACAGCAGCTGTGGGAAAAGCAGGGTCTTCTGCTGCTCCCAGGACAGGCTGAGCACTTGTGACTGATTGTGGCTCTGTGGGCATTGCCTCTGCTACCCTAACCTGGCCAAGCCTTATCCTGAGGTAGAAATGCCTCCCATGCCAAGGGAAATGTTTTCATATGAGGATATGGACTCATGCTGTAACAACCCACCTTGCTTCTCCTATATTTGGAGACTGAGTGAAGCATGTGCATCTGACTCCAACTGAAATTCAGCAAATTCTACTTCTTCAGAAAATGCATCTTTGCAACTACAGGATAATTTTTAATCCACCAGATCCAATGATCCACATATTGCTTATGTCAAGACCAGGAGGTCTTGAGGACAGACATGAGTGCTCCCCTCTGTGTAGCACCTCCTCTTTCTCTTCAGCTGCCTTCCTTCAACAAAGGACCTACCACCTCCATCTCTTGGGTATCCACCAAACTTTTTCACTCCATGATTTTAGCTATGATTTATTCACATCCTTCCTATTAGACCCAAAGAGACTTTTTTTTTTTTCTCTTTCCAGCCCCTCAGTTTTGTTAGTGCACAAATGTCTTGGTTGCACAGAGGCCCGCACATGATGGGATTTAACCGGGAACATTTCACCCGACCAGATCAGAATCTACCTCCTCTTGACTGCAGACATATCACTGCCTCAAAATTCAGTACTTCATGTAATTTTGATTCTGACAGTAAAGGCTGCACTGAAATCTCATCTGGGTTTGTTAGTGATATATTGACTTAAAATACCCTGCTTTAAAGAAGGCTAGGGAAGCAAAGCAAGAAAAACTCAAATCTTCTACTGAGAGCCAGGCCTTTCAAGGGAGAATGAGGTGTTTGGGGAATTGAAGCATTTTCAGTCCAAGGGAGACAGATACTGTGTATTTCAACAAAGTCAAAATATTTATGGTTTATGTAGTCTTAATGTAGCTAATGCTACAGTCTGAAGCCACATTGGTAAAAAAAAATCATTCACCTCATGCTGTCTATTACCAGGTACTTGCTGCAGCCTCCAAACAGTTTAAGCTATGCTGGCTGTAAAAGAGCTTAAAAAAATTTCCCAGTGCAGGGAAGCTTGAAGAAGAAACCAGTTTATTGCAATTGATATAAGTGAAAAATACATGACATTAAGTTGCTTCCCAGAGGCATTGCTAAATGAATAATGGATAAACAATGTCAGTGACCCCCTGTCACTGAGGCACAAAACTGAGGCACAAAAAAAGAACAGCAGTGGCTGAAAGTTTCATTCAGCCTGGTGGGAAACTTCCCAATAGAAGGAGTCCCAGACAGAGAGGTATCTGGCACTGCTTTATATGGAGATTACTTTCCCCATGACCACTCATTTCGCTATAAATTTCTTCTGCTCTGTGGATTTACACACTAAAAATATGTAATAGGGAAGGAATATAAACTCTCTCTTTGTGGTATCGCTGGCTCACATATTGCAGCTCAGCAGTCATGGACAGCATCCAGAATTAACGCTCAAAGGGACCTGCCATATTTATGACTTCTCCAGACTCACAAGAGCAAGAAAGGCTGGCAGAGAGTGATTGAAGCAGAGCTAAATAAAATGCATAGAATAAAGAGAGCAAAAAATAAAATATTTTTAGAGTCTGAATTCCTAGAGAAATGAGATCTATGCAATGCAACTTGTCTGGGCAAGGATGTGTGTGTGGCAGGTTGCTCTTTCCACAAACCTCACACCATAGTTTGATTCTGCTCAGCTGCTGCCAATGACTTTTAAGAGGAGAACGCCAACAGTCTTGGAGGCAATTCAGTTGTTCCATCATGGATGAAAACAGATGCTTATGCCTAATAAGCTTATGCTTATTAGCCTTATGGAAAGGGTAACAAACTCACCATCATTAGGCATCAGACTACAAAAAGAGGGTAAAGGTTTTTAAAATTGAACTCACTTGTCCTGTAGTCCACAAAGCTTCCCCTCCATGGCTTAAACTGGCTGAAAAATATCCCTGTGTGTTTCAAACGTATTTACCAGCTTCTCCAGGAAAAAGAAAAAAATTGATGTGCAGATCACCTGAGAAGAGGTGGCTACAGTCAGAGTCTTATTCTTCTGCCACCTTCTGATTCCTCTGGAACCATGTGCACATGCAGTTGCTCCTCTGTGGGGGCCAGGCTGCCGTCACTCAGCCCGGGCCATGCTGAGGGCACAGTGTGTGCTGCTGCTTGTGAATTGCACATGCAATATGGAGACGGTCCTTGAATTTACAGTATCTGTTCAGGCTTCTGGGTAAGCAGAGAAAGTGAAGGGAAAAGAGCATTGGGAAGGTTTTCCAAGCTGTGTTCTGCCACACAAGGAATGATTTTTTTCCCCCACAAATATAACTGGCAAAATTTGATTTGGGGAGGAGGGAGAAGTTCAAAATTATATAGTCAGACGCTGTTTTACAAGATCAACAATTTTATACATATCCAAATGGAACTGCTTCCATTAAGAAGATCCCCAAATATACTGATTTCCACAGTAGGCAAAGAAATCCTAATAACGAATCCAGTGACCTCAAAAACAGCCCATTACTTATGTTTATAATTAATGAGATCCTGGTGAAGCAGTGATGAGTGGATTTTTACTGCTTCTTATTGCAAACAATAATGGTACCCATGTTTTTCCACCGACACTCGTAACACCTTGTAAGAGAGCGAAAATTGCAAAACAGTGGCTAATACCAAATGCCTCCATCCAGAGAAAGCTGTGAACTTACTGTCTGATGTTCAGAGGTGAAAAAGCACCAACAGTTTCCATTTCATCACTTTTAAAATCAGATCACTTGTTCAGATGCTGCTGTGATTGATAATACCAGTGTTTGCTTCAGAAATGTTCAGGCTCTCACCTCTGTGAAGAATATCCAGGACTAGGAAAGAAGTTTCGGCCTACACTGCATCTGAATGAAGTGGAGCTCACACTGTGGTACTGATTATTTCAGGTCTGTGGAATTGAAAAAAGCTCTCTCTCGTCACACGCGATATCAGCTTTCACTCAAAACCCTCCCAAACAGTAAAATCTTTTGACTTGATTGCAGTGCTAAAGCAGGATTAAATGTGTAACCAGTGTATGAACTGAGATCCCTTTGACTCTAAAGAGAGCCTCAAGCAATGATTCAAAACTACATGAACTTTCAACTTCAGTTCACTCAAGGCCATGGGGTCTTCAGTTGTAAGCTGGGTTTTCCAATCTTTTTTTTTTTCTTTTTCTTTTCCTCTGCTACAGAGTTCATTATTTTGCAGAGGATGGGTCTTTTTTCCCTGCAGGGATCTATCTATCACTGCTGACTCTCTGCATCTTCTCCGCATGGAAGAAGTAATTGGATTGTATTTTCTGCACACGACCAAGACAGCAGGGAAACCCACAGCTGTAAGCTAGAGAACCAAGCTGTCTAGAGAGTAAGTACCTGATGCCTAAGAAAACGAAATGTCTAGCCACAATATCTTTCCTTTCTTTCCATGGAGGAGCTGCGACATGCTGAACTGCATTCACCAGACTGCTCAGGAAGGTGAGCTCTTCAAGGAGCAGTACAAAACAGAAACACCCAAATAATCCCTTCAAAAATGCAGCCCAGGGGCATTATATCATGTGACTATACAAAACAATAGGTATGCTGTCGGATGCTAACTGTACAGGACATTTCATAAAGTTACAGTGCAATTATTGCAAAATCCAGTGGAATTTTTACACTGCCAGGGCCTCCATGTGTTGATGTATATGATTATGCAGGAACAACTGCAACACCTCAGCCCAGACAAAAAGGCAAAAAAAGTGCTCTTATTTAATGTATTTCCAGATTGTGTTATATTTATTATTACTATAATGCTGCAAAATGCTATGTTGTAGACTTTCTTTTTTTTTCATACACCAAAATCCTAACATGATTATATTTGGGGAAAGTGATGGGATTGCCAAGGCTTTATGCTGTTAGTCTTTAAGAGTTTAGTAGATGTATTACTTTCCTGCAAATGAATGCCTGCTTGTCATTGTCAGCCTTCTAATGTTCGTTGCCACCCCCACCTCCTTAGAGCCAAGCCTAAAAAAAGAATCTCTTTGGAGCTTGATGTGTTGCTTGTAGCTATGTTAGAGGAACCGTACTATTCTGGGAACGTTCAGGCTCCTCCAAACAGCTCTTCCAGCAGTAACACCACGCATGGTTTTCATCTCGGCCTTAAGGACTTTCATTGGTCTCCTATCAAGCCTCACCAGCCAAATCCCAAGTCCCACAGGGAATGAACTGCACTATACCAGAACATCACCCCCAAACTTGTGCTCATCATCATCATCATCATTGTCATTATCATTATCATCAGGTTTTCTATGCAGGCTGATTTGTGAATTTCTCTCCAAGAAATATTTTATCAACCTTGACTGGAATAAAAGCAGTGACACAGGAGGAATACTGTCTGCTATTATTTTCCACTTATAAAGAACACAAATCTGCATGATGAGCCAAATTCTTCCATTGCAAAGATTATTTGTTACATGAAGTAGCTAAAACAGCAGAAAGAACCCATTCCTGGAATTTATGAGTAAAAAATTTTTCTTTGGAGCAGCAGAACACCACAATTGCCCCACTCAGCATATTAACACTTACAGTAGTGATGACAGTTGCAAAAATATGGGGGAGTATATGATTAAATCAGTATTTCTTAAATAGTTTTGGAGTATCCAAGCTGATATTTTGGAACAAGAGCGGAGAAAAATGTTCTGAGCTGTCAGAGTTTCTGAGGGGGCAGATTCAAAGGTCTTGTGTCACTTCATGCCACCCAGTGGCCAGATTAATGGAAGAGGGGCAACACAACAGGGTGTTGTACTTGCAGTCTGGATGAGTTATGATTTGTTTTCTTTTTTTTTTCAATAAAAAACCTAATTTAAATGCTGCTGTCATGGAATACTAAAATTACACAGTGCCATACACAGATTTCCTATGAATAATAAGAGCTGGTGCATATATGCATGCGGGTATTTGTGTTGTAATTTAAAACATAACATCACTGCAAGCTAAACAAGTTTAGGAAACTTCTCTGAGAGAAATTCTTTACCTTAGGAAGAGGATCCACGATAATGAAAATCAATGTGGCAGGCAGAAATAGCATTTAAACCTTTACTAGCAAGATATGACACATCAAAGGAGTTAAATTGATCTTCCAGCCTTCTGTCCCAAATATTGCTGCTGCAGAATGAGCCTCCCTTTCATTGTGCTGACAGCTACACAATGCTCCTGTCCCCATCAGTGTACATTGCATGCTGTCTTTGCCACCACCCTCTCTCCATCGCCAGACATCTGAGTTACAGTCAAAGATTTGGATTAACAGGAGCAGAGTTTTGCATGGGCAAAAATGCTATGAAATCAATGAAACCCAAGAAATGTGGACCCCTTAGCTTGTGAGAAGCCACAGACACTGGAATATCCGTAAGCAGCATGACTGAGGCTAAACTTGGTATCATAACAAAGCGTGGGTCTAAATAAAAGCTGCCTTAAACTCCTTGGAGGTTTGCTGCTTCTACATGAGGACTTGTCAGAGAGTAGCTCTCCTACAGAAACAGCCATACCAAATATAGCGTGCTGGAGTAAATGCAGGAGGCAGTGCTGGAAGAACATTAAAACTGTTGCTTTCTTGCTTTCTTTTCTTTTCATGGATGCTGTATCTTAAGGCATTTTTGTATTTGCCCCTCTAGCTCTGTGATTCCCTCAGTTGTTGATACAACACAGCCATTTTCAGAAGCCCCAAGTCTTTCTAAAGGCCACGTTTTGGGTTGAGAGACTCCGTGGTGTGCCAGCCCCAGAGAAGCTGGTGAGCAAGCTGCTCTCTCAGATGTCTGTCAGCCACCAGAGACCCCGATCATGTCAGCTTTTCTGCTGGTCTGCCACTGGTCAGTTGCATAGTTAGCTTGGATTCAGCTGCGTATTTACAGGCAGCAAGGTGCAGCTAGAACAGCAAGCAGCCAGACACAGTAATACAGACATTTGCCCATTTTACCCCAATGGTGTCTTTTTATAGAATGGTGGAAAGGCTTGGGTTGGGAAAGACCTTAAAGATTACCAGATTCCAACACCCAGGGACATCATCTGGTTCCATGGGTGGGACACCTTCCACTAGATAATTTTCTGGCAACTTCCCTGCTGCCCCTTCTCTCCTGCTCTGTTCAGGATGGCATGTGTTCCTCATGCAGCTGCTGTGACCTGCGGGAAATTTGCAAGCATGTCAAGGACCTGCAAAGACAGCAAAGCAGTGACCTTACCTGGAAGCCTAGGTACACCAAAGGCAAAGCTCTCCTGGTTCAAAGAATCCCAGATTTTCACCTGTGGGTTTCAAAGCACATCAGGCAGTAGCACTTATGGGAAGTTTCATTCTTTGGGCCTTTTTATTCCACACAGTCTTCCTCCTCTGCATCCTCTTTTTAATATTTTTTTTTTTTTTTTTTTTTTTTTTTTTTTTTTTTTTTTTTTTTAGTTTGGAGTTGTTCAAACTTCAGCACTCAAAGCAGGATGTAGTGAGCCCCTTGTATGTCAGTACAAAACCCTTTCTAGAAAAGGTTTTGATTGAAGCCGGACCAGCTCTCCCCTGCCCCAGTCCAACACCCTTTCAGCTCCACTGAGGAGTGGCCTTGCAGGAAAACTCTGCAAGCTTCCGAGTCTGGTGCAGTTCCGTGGCAAGCCAGAATAAAACACAGCCACGCTTCTAAATCCCCCTCTGAGCTGTGAGAGGGGTAAGATGTCCCAGCACTTTTGTGTCGGTACAGAGTACATGTCCACACTGCAAAGTGTGGGTCTTGTTGCTATGGGGAGGAGCAGAAACTGAGTGATGCCTTCCCTAATGACCTGTGCTATAACACACCCCTGTGGGACCCAGAGGGAGGTTAGCCTACATAAAAGCAACGCTTTGGACTGCTACAAAATAGGAGATGTCCTAGGAGAGGGTACATGCCTCTGAATGACAGATGAGCCATCTGTGGCCACTAGCGTGGCGGCGATCACCTGACACTTCAAACACTCAGCAATCTCATCTATAAGCCCACGCCTTTTCATTTTAAAATTAAAGTAATATTCCGAATAATCAGAGTAACCTCATGCTTGGAAACAGTAGAACACATAGAATCTTTTCTATTTCAGTGCTAGAAAAAAGAAGGGGACAAAGCACCAGGAATTATTGTTTCTTAGCTGAACCCTTGTAGATTGACTTTTGGTCCAGAGTGGGGGTTTTTTTTGTGTGACCCGGTGGTAAATTTCTGAACAAAGAATTTTAAGATACAGAGACAATTCTTGTAAGAAGCTTTTAACTCTAGATGTGCAGAAGGTCATTTTGAAAACTTCTGGTATCTTTCACAGCAGTGCTGGCAAATGGATTGAACTCTTCCTCAGGGATTTCTGTAACAAAGTGGGTAAAAATTTAAGTGCTTTGTAATCTCTATGGGAAGAGATAGTATCAGGTAGAGTAGGTAATTTGAATTACTTAGAGCAATGATGCTTTTGAATGCCTTACTTCACTCTTGTGAAAACTAGTTGGTAACAAAATTACATTCCAAAAGCTTTTCTGCATACTCCCCTAATGAACTTCTGATTTACATGCAGTTTGTAGATATGACTTCTATCTCCTAATGTCATTTTCTTCCTTTTATTCAAGGCAGATTTCTGGTTTAGGGGGAAATATTATGTAGCGTGTATAGCCGCTGTGGAGGAATTATTGCAAATACCTCATTTGTAATCCTTTTGTTCTTCCACTCTGAAACCCCACATCTCACTTCTCCATGGAGGAGAGGATATTGTGTTTGACTTATTACAAAGCCTAAAGCATTCTTAGGATTAACTGCAGCTAATCACTAAAAACATGTCTTCTCATTTTAGAACTGTTGTGACTCTTCAGCATGGGAAAAGTGCTTCCTACTTCAAAATCTGTTTTACATCTAATTTTTGTTTCCCTCCCAAAGGCTGGGCCTGGGCCTCACCAGCATGCCTAATGTCATCAGGACTAAGGACATGAGGAGAATGAGGTATCCCGACCCAGCAGTGAAGCCATGCCAGTACAAAGATCAAAACCCAAAGTGACTGCACCTCAGACAAAGGAGGAGAAGGGAAGTTGTTGAGGTCACCACAGAGATGTCTGATTTACAATTCCACCAAGGTACATTTGCTGTGTCACAGCTCCGTCTCTTCTCCCCAGTGCCTGTTAAGGCATCTTTCAGCATGACACATCCCATCTTTGACTCACCAGGTAAGACTGGGATATCAGTATGAAAATTAGGCAAATATTGACTTCTTTTGACATAGAGTAACTTTGTTGTACCCATGAAACAATATATTTATGTAATGTTTTCAGATTGCACATAACTATGGGCTGGAATTAGTAGGTTTTTGAAGGATAGTGCTGAAGAAAAGGATGTCAGATACTGTCAGTGCTGGGGTTTAGAAAACCGACCACTAATTTAGCGTTTTCCAATAAGCCACCCTGATTTACAGCATGGAATAAAAGTTGTCTCCAAAAGTAAGTGAAATAAACTTGTACTTCAAGGCATAATAAAGCTTCATGAGAGGTTGGGGTAGGAACAATATCCCTTTCTGACGCATTACTTTATAACAGGGGAATGTGAAACTGCTTGCATCATTCTCTGAAGGATCTAGTCTAGGCCCTTTTAGATACTAGGTAAGTAATTTTTAAAATGTATAGCTTCTCCAACTTCTTTCAATAGAAATATAAGTTTTCAAGGGTATTTTACATAGGTCAATTGCTATCTAGAAACCAAGAACTTAATTTCCTCAGTCACATTTCATGATTGGATTAGAGGGAGTTCACAGATGCCCAGGGACTGATGAACCACCTGAGGAAAACCATGAGACAACTTAGACCAGGAATCAGATTCTGTCTGATGGTTTTCTAACACCTGATGTGTTTAAATCAATGCTTGATTTTTGCTTGTTTTTTCTTTTTTTTTAATTGCAGAAGACATGCTTCAATTCAGCTATAAAATAGGAACTTAAGGAAAGAACTTGAAAGTCTGTGGCAAGCCTATAAGAACTGATGTATGACACAATTGTGAAGTTTAATTCTATTCTGAAGACCAATGAATAGACAAAGATTCCTATTTCTAAGAAAACAAAGACATAAATCTACAGCCACTTTGACAAACGATGTGCGGATTTCTCCTGGGAAACGTGCAAAGAAGGACCACACCAATGGAAAAGCTGTCCCAAGATTATGTCACCTACATGTATCATGAAGGAATTTTCTTCTTGGCTGCTCAGGGGAGGATTTTTAACATTTGCCTCCCATTTACTCCACAACATTTCATTGCTGGATAACTTGTACTTTTTCACACCATTTTAATTTGATGGCATGTATGAGTAATGCAGAGACCTTTCTTTCCTAAGGGAAATTAAGAAAATAATTCATTTTTTCGCTCAGTAACTCAACTGAATTCAATTTGGGTTCATTATTTTAGGAAAGGTATTTACCTAGTTCTGTCAAATTAAAATATGGAAAGAAAAATGTCAATAATACTGACCATTTTGTCATCACAATTCTTAGTTCTTTCATGCCATGCTTCCAACACATACACCTTAATTTTGCAAAGGGAAAAACTAACATGAAATCTTAGAAGGCATAAGTCACATTTGCAATTTCTGCATGTTACTAAATATTTACATACACTATGTGCATGGAACAAAACTTCAGCAAAGCAGTTTTCACATTGATTTCGTTTTTTGAGCTCATTTGTAAGGTTTTAATTTTAACTTTTTTCTTGCATTTATTTCAATATATATTTGCCAGATGAATTGCACACACAGAAAAAGGTGTAATAGAAGGGCAGGAGTATCAGCTGCATTATGTGTCCCTAAAAGACAGAGAAAAAACAATATTTGGAAATTTCTGTGGCACAGGGTCCTGCTGGCAGCTGTTGATCTCATTCCTATCCCTTACATGGGGTTGTTAATGCAAGGATGCATATGGGAATGGCTGAGGACTGGAGAGGCCATGACCAAAGTGAATATTGATTCTCTTTTTCCTTTGTGTGGCTGCCTGTGTAGAAAACATCGATCAGTAGTGCAGCCTGAGAGAAGGCTGAATGAATTAATGGAAGAGAGAACCCTCTCAGAGCTACTGAATCCACAGAAAATCAGCCTGGCTTGGGATGCGTCTGGGCTGCAAGTGCTTTGCAGTAGAGAGGAGAGGCTGCTTGCAATTCTCCGGTCTCACGCTCCTCGTTCCAACATCAGCTCTAGGGCGTTAGCATTAGCTGTTCTTATTTCATTATGCTTTTATTTACTGTTGGCAGGAGAGAAGGATTGGAAGCTGCCCAGAGTGCTGGCTGCAGCCAGTGAGAGACCTCTCTTTCTACAGGGCTGGCTGCAGCACAGAATTGACGGGTGCTGAGTAAATGTGTTTCATATCCAGAGAAAATTTTCCAGAGTGCCTAAATACCTTGAAACTGCAGGTTCTGTTGGACAAGATCAAGTAATTTTCTTGGAAAACTGCTTCCAGTTAACTTTCTCTCTTTTTGTCTCTCTCCCCATGTTTGTGCATTTCAATTATGCAGAAATGTATCATTTAGCTCCACTTCCTTTTATTTAAGCAGGTAAGGAACAGTGAGCTTCAAAACTGAAACCTTTTAGCATCAAATATTATGTCTCTGATAGAAAAACACATATTTCCTTTTTAATTCTCAGTCTTGTTAACCGGTAATGGTAACTTTGTTCCCAGAAGCCCAGAACACTAGATGGATAGACTGCAGCAAAACGAGTTACATGTTGTATTTAGAAACAAGTACCTTTAAAAATTTACCTGTCTGCCAAGACTTGGAAAAATGAGAAAGCAAGTTCAGCTCAATACACAGAGCAGTTCCTCACTGTCTGACTCTCCTCATGGCTGCTGGGAAACCTGGCATGTCAGGTAACACATGCTGAGCAAGAGCCAAAAAGCCCTTTGCTGCTTCTAAAAATCAAACAAGCTCCTTGTTGGAAAACAGCTCTTTTCGGAGGCAGTACAGCTGTGGATGATGCTGTAGCCACACTACTCAGCCAGCGTACCTACCATGGACCAGCTTTCAGCAGTGCCAGCAGGTAAGATGTATAACAAGGGATACCTGTGCCAGAGCATCCTACCTTTCTTTATACCTCCATTTCACAAACAACACACACTAAAAGCAACCATTTACATGAAACAAGCAATGATGAAATATACCTGTTGAGTTGTTCACAGTCCACTAAGTCAGGAGAGCCCCTGGGTCAGCCTGCACTGCTTTGGCCTCCAATTCTTTCCTGACTCATCTGCAGCTCTGCTGTTTCATTTTGGGAGATTTCTCAGTTTTGGCTTTGCCCTGCCAGTAGCATCTGGTGCTGTTCTCTCCTGGCATGACTGCAACTGGCTGCCCCTTCTGGAAGAAAAGAGATGATTTTTTGAGGCTGTGGTGATCTGGTGTGGCAGGTGTTATACAATCTCAGATAGGAGGTCTCAAGTAGCAGAGTCTCCTGTCTGTTCAAGAGCTTACAGGCTGAATGCCTTTGTAACCTCCTCCTGGGCTTGAGGGTGGCATCAGGTGCTGGGGCTCTTTCACACTGCAGGGTTTGTAGCATCTGGCCAATGCCATGGATTATAACAATAAATGACACCATGCACAACAAACATCTCCAGAGGTTTTTCTGACTTCAGTCTCTAATCTTCTAGGCTTCCTGTGTCCCTTATCTGTCTATAATGCTTTAGAAATGACAATGCTAGTGATTTTGACATTGAGGATTCATGTGAAACTGGTGCAGAGGCTGGTAAGAGGCTGCCCTGACCCTCTGGGTCTGGGAGTGTCACATTCTCTCTGCGTTTGAACCAAAAGTGGAGAGGGTATGGAAGGGTCAGACAGACATCCATATGACCCCGCTTTCTTCTGTCTCATGGGACTTTGTGCACAATTGACAATTACAGATGTAGCCCTGAGACTCACACCAAGCTTCTGACCTGTTGTCACACACTATTTTATGCAGCATGTCATGTCCAACATGACTGTAATGTCTTCTGTCTTACTCACATTCAGCTCTGTCTCCTGCTTTTTTTAACTTCTCTCCCAGGAATTTCTTTTAGGCAGACTTTTCTTCCATTATTCAGACTCAAATCACTTTTCACCACTGTTTTGTTCCACATCAAAGCATGTAGGCTCACCCCCTTTGCACTTAGGGCTCCCAAAAGCCTAGAAAACTGCTCTGAGGAAGCTGGCCTCTATGGAGCTGAGGCAATGAGCTGGGGTGGCTGTACACATTCTTGTTATTGAAGGCAAACAGACCTGTCCACGCTGTTTCATTCCACCCCCCAGGGATTTGGCTGGGCTATCTCTCTGCCAGTTCACTGTTTTCCCTGTCTGAGAGTGTTTGCTGTGGGCAGTCATGCTTGGCCAGAGGATCTGCTCCATGGTTCTGCTCAGACAAGCCTGTCTCCCATGTGTTCAGCCTGTGTTGTGTAAAGAGTGTCAGACCTTTGCTGGAACCACTGGGTGGCTGCCTAAGAGAAATGCTGGGAGTCAGCACAGGTACGTCCTGCAGTGCCCACTGTGGGCAGTAGGCTGTAGTGATTGCCAGGGCCTCCCTTCTGGGCTGTAAAGGCTTTGCAAACAACCCTTCTGTGTGGTACTCTGTGCAGCATATCCAGCTTGCTGTATTCCAGAGACATTGCTGGGCACTACCTTCTCCTCACCTGAGAGCTGTGGGGGCCCAGTGACATGTGCTATGCTTGTCTGAGAGCTCAGCAGTGACCTCTTTGTGGTGCTGGTGAACTCTCCAGGGCTGGATCTGTTTCTCTCAGTAATTTTGCTTGCACTCTGGAATCCCACAAGCAGCTCTTGCTTTTAATTAGGGGCACCATAAAGTCTCCAAAGACACGTGTAGTGTCAGAGATCTTACATCTGAAACATAAGGCTCAACTACCTCATATTTTTATTTTCAGTTTTGAGCAAAATTACTGAGTCCCTCTACAACCTTATTCTGTCCAGGTCAAGTCTTCAAATAACTTTCTTGATGGTTCAATTTTTCCAAGAATTATTTTGAAAATAATAAGTGACTCTCTCAAGTCACTTCTTGTCCTTTTTATTCAGTGAGAAAGTGAAAACTTTTACTTCCATGTTTTCTCACTCTTTCATGACCAACTCCATGTATCAATTTCCTGCTCACATGAACCCTTCAAACTGGCTTTTTGAGCTCTCAGTGACCTAAGTCCCTTGTGGCAGTTTGCCTACTTTATTCCCAGGCTGTCTTTCTGTGTCTACTGCACTGGCTGGTGACATAAACTCTGTCCCACCTCTCAGAAAGGGACAGTTTATCTCCAGCAGCAGTTCATCCCTTTGGAGTAGCACTGCTACTGATGTTAATAACAGAGAAGTCTTGTTAGAGTCTGTGGCAAACATCCCTCATGTACCTACAGCAAATGAGGAGATATTTGAAGGTGAGCTATGTCCTGATATCATCTGTTGGAAAGGACTTTATGTTTCATATATTTCATGTTATTGCTCTGAAAGACTAAATGTAAGAGCACATTTCCAACTGAAGTGCTTTTGGAAATTAAATCCATGTTTAAATGAATTTTAAACTTTTAATGCAAAATTGAGCACTTAGAAATTTTGCATCAGCTCCAACTTAATTAAAATTAATAAGGTTTCAGAGAGTTTTAGTTGGGATAGATGAGGAAAGAATTTGGCCTTAAATGCGTAATTAAAATACAATTACATTGGAAGGAAGTAATTACTGAGGTTGTACCTCAAAAGCATACCTAATGGGCTATCAGGAGAAAAGGTTTATGTGTTTGGTTCACCAGCTATATAAGATATAAAAGGATGTAGTCACTGAAAGAAAGAGATTTTAACAGGATAATTTAGATAGATAGTAGCAGCTCCTTTATGGTCAAATCATTCTGGCTACATTTGGGAGGGGGACTGCTTAATCTTCGTTTGGGGTGTGCAAGCACCTACACAAGTTTTCCTTCTGAAACATTTAATTGTTTCCCAGCCCTCTCATGGGCCTGTGAGAGAAGGAAGTGTTGCTCAGCCAGCGTCAAACATCTCTGGATCAGTAAAAAGTTAGCACTGAAAGACCTCAGCCGTCTGATTTTAGGAACTGTTTGACAAATGACTTCTCAAAGTGAAGGGCCTAATCTGATTCTGGTTAAAACCATGGAGGGAATGGTCCTCTTGGTCCCTGCACCAGTGTGCATGAAGCCCTGAGCATAGAACCAGAATTGTGGTGTTATTTTTGCGTAAACCTGAACTTGGTGGGTTTTTTACATTATTGCCCTGGCATGCCTATGAAAAATGGTTTAATAAATAAGACATTCCACAACAAGCACAAAACAGACAGGTTTGGGAGTTAAAGTTGAAGTGTGAGCATTAAAACTGAAGCCATTTTGTGCTCTGTGGAGACAGAACAATCCATCATGTGGTTTTTTTTGTTTTGTTTTTTGTTTGGCTTTTTTTCTTTTTTTTGGGTAATGTGATAGGTTTTGATTTCGAAGTCAGTGGTGAGGTTTCTGTTGACTGCACTGGAGTTTGGATTAGGTTCACGGAAATAAATGAATTTTATATTTTATATTATTTTATTATAAAATATATAGGTAGTCAAAGATGAAAGGTTCACAGTCCCATTTGGATCAGCTCCTTTTCAAAGGTTCAGAGGCACAGATTGCATCGAATGGCCTGGAACACCTGGGTGTAACCTCGAGTTTGTCACATCAAGGTGATTTGATTGTAAGTTCTTGATTGAACCTTGTTTCTTCACTTAACTTTCTGAGGTGTTTAACTGTGATTTTTACGAGTTCAGTGTGTTTTGTAGAAGAATTGTGGGAGGGGGAATGTGCATGTCTCAGCTGTGCAGTGTTCCCTGTTATACAGTGTCAAACACAGTGTAAGTAGCCTGATGTTTTACTCAACAGATACATGTCCTTGGCAAGGAAGGGAATTTAGCACTTAGTGAAATGCACTCTGCTGAACTGTTGACATTCAGTTCATAGTCAAACTTTTATTGGTGAAGCGAAACACACCCTTTGTGTTTTAGCTCAGTAAAATAAAATTTGGTGACAGAAATTTCTCTCTACCCTTATATTCTCTGCAGCAATGCTTGTTACATGGATAAGAAACATGTAGAGCTTGACTTAGCCTTTTTCACACCAAAATCAGATGTCTTCAGTAATACTCAACCAGTATATTTTTAAACCTTTTTTTTAATTTTTTTTTTTTAATTTTTAATGCAATACTAAAGATGTGGGATTGTCAGTATTGTGGTACTTCATCACCTAAAATTGTTTCCATGTTAGAGCTCCCAAAGAAGCCTGAGAAGGGGTGTTTCATGTACGACATTATCAGCACTTGTGCAGGACTGAGTGAACTCAGCCTTCTGTGGCTGTAATAGCACAAGCACTTCATTCCCTTAAATAGTTTTTTTCTTTTCCCCCAGGGTCTTGTAGCAACTCACACCTGAAAAAGCAGCCTTTATATCTTCCTCAAGATAATTAAATACAGATTCAAGCAGAGGAGCAATATTGCTAAGTGTCCTTTTGTTAAGTTGTTGGTCTCTGAAGATTCTCACATTTCAGTCATGATTGACCTAAGTGGCAGCAGAGCTCTCAGCCATGGAAACCACATCTGGAGAAATCCCACCTCTCAAAATCACAAAACTCTTAAGGATTTACATGGGGTGACATTAACTACCAGGATTAAATAAATGTACCAAAAACATTCTCCCAGTTGCAAAGGTCACCGAAAAGCCACACAGGTTTGGCTTATGCTGAGTTTTGCCTTTTTGTACCCATATGAAACATTTTTTTAATGGTTCCAGAATGGGTGGAGAAATTTATCAGAGCAACTAATGGCCTGAGGTACACTGCTGAAACAGGCAAAGACTGTTGCTTATGTACACACAGCATCAATATCAGCATATTTTCAGTGTGGCTTACCTCCTGCAATGTTCGGTCCCCCCCCAAGACAGAGGCACTGTTGGAGCAGGTGCTGCCAAATGGACAGCATCATGATGGCTGAGCCCTACTGGATGTGTTCAGAGGCTGGATGGAGGCCATTCAAGCTTTTTCACCTCTATTTTATACCAAGTTTGGAACAACGTGGTTTAATTGATACGGTGGTGTTCAGCCAAATGTTGGACTCGATGATTTTGGAGGTCATTTCCAACCCTAATGATTCTGTGATTCTATGAATATAAGTATTCGCTGCCAGACATCTGTGCCATTCAGTTTACAGGATTGTCCAGATGCTAGGGATTTATATTTTGTATCCTTTACACAGATTAAAGGGTGTCTGCAGTCTAGGTTTTTAATTTTTAAGCCCTGTAACAAGACTGTATCAGTTATGTCTGAGAATATCAGGATTTAGCTACAGTTTTCCACAGGGATGTGGGATAATGCTTACTTCCTTTTTTTTTTTTTCTTTTTTCTTTGACTAATTAAAGGCAAAACACAAACCTGTGCATTTTTAAGCAGCTCTCTGAAATTTCATGGCCTTATAATTACAATCTATTGGACTGAAAACGAAACCTGAAATTACACATAAAAACCACAATATTACCAGTCCTGGGTTTAAGGCTTATATTGCTGTGAATTTCTAGGAAAATATTTAAGAATCAATTTAAATGCTAATGGACTTGTTTGCCATAAAACTAGGCAGTAGTCATACTCAATAGCTGCTTCAGAGCCATAGTATGGGTCTTTCCTTCACTGGACTTCATTTGTGACATTAAATTTAGAGATGTTGCTATGTATCATAGACCTATGCAAAAGAGGGGGAAGAGGGAGGGGGTGGTTCTCTGAAACCCTGCAGAAAGCAACTTCTCAAAAGCTGAAGTTTCTCATGTGGACTTTGAAAATCTGATTGTAGAGCCAGACATGAACTTGTGGAATCCTGAGGAAGTTAAAGGCAGAAGTACTTGTATCTTCCTGCTTTGTACCTGGTGACTTGCTGCGGTCCCCAGCTTTGCATGTGGGATGTCCTCTATAGTTCAGACACTTCAAAACTGGATCCCTCTGCCAGCTTTGAGCAGGTCCTTTGGTCTGTACTTTTTGGGGACCACAGGCACTTTCCACTCTGGGTGGTGGTGGGGTTACAGCCCATTTCCATTTCCTGAGGCCTTTCCCATTTAAATCAGGACCAGCTGCATCATTGCTTCTGAAAAGCACATTCTGTGACTTCTATCACACATCTAGGGCTGGGTCCCAGACCATGTGATAGAGAGGACAGTGAGGTGGCTCCCTTGCCCAGGACGCAACCAGTGACCTTGTTAAACTTCTGATGGGAGGGCCTGGGAACAGCACATTCCCACACATTTTCTGAAGCAGTCATGGGCAGTGATGTTCAAGCAAATGGCCCGGGGTCAGGCCAACCACACAGACTTGGAGCACCCCCAGAATCACTGCCAACACATTCCTGAGCTGATGAAATCAAGTTTGCTGTGAGACTGTGTCCTGTGTTCAGGCTTTCCAATGTCAGGAGATTACTTGGTGTAGGTTCCTGGGTCTCTGCTGTCTGGCTTTCACCTCTGTTCGATTTTCAGGCATACGCATTGGATATGTCCATCTGAGAAAACAATATGTGGCTATGGACACACTGTCATGTATACACAAGCACAAGATGGTGGTGGCCCCTTACCCCATTTTGGCCTGTGCTGACCAGCACTCATCCAGCAATTCCTGGACATGATATAAGAGTCAAGCCCAGGACCGTTCCAAAGACACAATGTTGGGGAAAAGTGGTTGAATCACACGGGCAAGAAAGAACTGTTCTGTGCCAGTGAAAGAACTCTAGACATATTTAATTCATTGTTGTATTTGTAGCATTTGAAGCCACTTCCATTTGATCAAAATTGTTTGGAAACTGCCTAGCAAATCCCAAGGTCATTTGGGAGAATTGGCAGGGAAAAAAAGAGAGAGTGAAAAAGCAAATAAACACATTTCCCAGCAGCAGTTTTTGCTAAATAGCTAGGCGGGGGAGAAAAAAAAAAAAAAAAAAAAAAGGTGAAGAAAGCTTCCCTCCTGGTACTTGTGGATTGGATCAAAACAGGGCAACCATAGATATCCAAAAGCATGTTTATGATCCACAAAATGTGTATGCAAGGAAATTAAAGATCTGGGAGTGACAAGTTGAAGGAAAGTGAGAAAGCTGCTCAAGTGGAGCTGTTGATGGAGGAAGGCTGCTCCTGGTGTGTCCCTACAGAACAGAGTGCACTCACCAAGACTGCTGAAACGCCTTTTGACTTCCTGTCAGAAGACGAAACATGATTTTGTAATGCAGCCCAGTCTGAAAGAGGATGGAGGGACAGAAGCCTTGTTAACCTGGTGATAATATAGCCTTGAGACAGAGAAGATAGAGCAGTTCTGGAGAATCAGACACTTTACAAGTCCAGCAGCTGCCCAGTGCCTTGTTCCATCTTGTTAGCACTGTATTTCTGCTGTGGCTGTACCCAAGAGAGCTGTGGCATGAGTGTGGCTCCCCTGTGCTAGGTGCCGTGCACCCCAAAGCAGCAGAGAAACATGGCCCCTGGCAGCAGACACTCACACCAGAGAGCAGAGACACCTTGACTCCCTTTCTGCAGGCAGTGGGAGGGATGGGGCACCACGGCATTCCCCCCTTCAATGTCCCAGTGAGAGCAAAAGCCTTGAGTAGGACCAAGGTGTGGGGACATTTGTCTGCATCACTTCTGAACAACTGGAGACTCATTTTCATCCTGTTGATTGCTCATCACATTGATTGTTAGTGGGTTTGGAATTTAAATATTAAAGGACAGCTTCAGAATTAGGCAGGCAGAAACCTTAGCCCTTATTCATTAAGAAAACATCTGGAGGCTTTTTTGCCCTCCTGAATAAGGTTTGAAAAGACAAGCTGTCCTCATAAAATCTTACAAACGCCCACAGGACAATTTTACTTTGAAGTATCAATGTGACAGGGCAAAAGCAGAACAATTTGATAGTAATGATTTCAGTCACCATCCTAATGCTTCATGTTTTAAAGATCATTTTGCAATAAAGACATCATGATTTTACAGTCAGATTAGAATAATAAACCGTAGCACTTAGTGAATACTTTTCCTCTATGCCATGAAATAAATTGGAACAGTAAGTGTTTTTCTCATTTTAGAGTTGGAGAAACTGAGGCCCGAGGACATGACCTTCTCACAGCACAGTCTGGGAGAACCTCACCTGTCTCCTTGTTATGGGGCTGCTCTTTGGGTCATACTGTCCCTCACCTCCTAGTCCAGACAACATGACTGATGACAGCTCTCTGCAGGAGAAAGCAGATGCAGATTGATGTTCTCTCTCCCTCTGTAACTTCAGGCACTTCACCAAGACATCTCAGACAGAGTATTGAAACTGTCATTAGGAAAAAAAATAAAAGCAGAAAGAAGAAGTGTCAGGATCTAGTCACAATAGACAAGCTGAATACAAGTCACCAGACCTGCTGATAATCTCAGGTGAGGGGTGGGGTGGCCACTGAGTCACCTTTTCCCATCATTTTTGCTGGCACATTCTCTGTCCTTTCATCTGTCTGAGAGAAGCAGTAGTGTTGTCCCCAGCCTGGGTGGCTGCATCTCACCTGGTCTCACAACAGGCTCCCTCAGTGGCATTACATTCACCAAGAGGTGGGGAACACAGGGGTGTGCAGCTGGTACTGAGCATCCCTTTGAGTGCAGTGAGCACAAAGGCAAGAGGCCGGTGATATGTCAGATTTCTAATTAAGATTCACCAGTCTCCAACTTGGCTCAATTCATTATTCATCTGGAAATTTTTCTCCCTAACTTCCGTCTTTTCTTTTGCTGTCACCCACTAAGCAAAGCTATTCTTTTCCCTCCCAGAAGCTCCATCCACATCTCTGCTTATATGTCGCCCTCAGATTGTGACAGAAGAGGAAGAAATGGTTACAAACCAGGTCCTGGAGCAGTCATAAATATTTACAGGGGTCTGACAATGACTTATCTTAGACCATTTACATTTAAACTACAGACATGCAAATGAGGTGTTTTCTGCATTGTGAGCAGCAAGGATGAGATATTCTTACACTAGTAGAGATCTGTTGCTCTTCCAGAAATATTTCTTCTTGTTGCTGCCCTGGCATCTCACTGTAACATAGTCGGGCATTTGGGTAGGAAAGGCAATACAAAAGAGAGTGGATTTCCTGGCTCAGAAACAGGTGTACATTGCTTAAAATTTTGGCAGAGGAAAGAAGGGAGGAAAAAGTCTTCGCAGCAGTTGTTCACCATCAGACCTTCTGCTGTGCTCTTTTGTGGCAATTGCCCAGTGAGCCAGTGAGTGATGAACTGATATAAAAGATTGATCCAGATAAAATATTTAGAGATTGACATGATTAAATATGCAGGATTTGAAATGAACATTTCACTCTCCACCGTTTTTCCACAAAACATGACCCTGTATTGCACACTGTGTGTAAGATGGGAATGGGGGAAAAAAGGAAAAAGAAGGAAAATCTCTTAACTGGATGCTCTGATTTTGAGCCTTCAGAGGAAAGAGTTTGTGCTGATGGGGACATAATCCTCAAGATGAGGTTTCAATGCAGGGTACCTGCAGGGAGGAGGAGTACTTCTTGCCTCCCTGCTGCCCCAGGGAAGAGCCTGCAGGTGCTCTTGCTATGACAGTCGTGCTCACTCACCACAGAATCCTGGCCCTGGAACACCAGTTGAAAGCTGTCCAGAGCATCAGATGGCACATCAGAGAGCAGAAAGCAATTTCAGCCATGGGATTGCTTCTCGTAGCAGCACTCATTGCCAGTTCAAGGTTGTCAGCCTCCCAAACTGACTTTTATTCTCAGCTAGGGTGGTTGTTGTTGTTTTTTTGGTTTTTTTTTTCCTTAACACAGCAATCTTAATGCTAGGCATCACTTGCAGAATTGACTGGAAAGATATAGATTATCATTCCATCAAGTTCCCTAGATCTGAATCTTCATGTTTATTTGTCTTTGCATGACTGAGGAATGCAGTCAGTGCTGCTCTGGGAGTAGAGGCTGCCCTCAGGAACAAGGAAAAGCCCCATGAGTGTAAGAGATAATTTCACTACATCTTGGATGTATGAGATGTGGGAAGACACCCCCCCTTTTTTTGCTGCTTGTTTATGTTGCTGTGTGAGTTATTTCCAAATGATGAAAGTGTTTGCCAGAAGTAGACAGGTTGTTGTGAATGGCATAGCTTTTGAATTCTGCTTATAATTACCCTTCTTTCCTGTACATTTTTCCCTTCCTTTTATTTATTTATTTTAAATTTTTATTTTTAGGGCCTGTATCTAGTACATTTCTTGTCTTACAAGAAAGTCTTAATAGTCCATTGCTTGATTTCCATGCTAATTGTGTGGCTTCTCTAAATAACTACCACATCCTCACTTACTTAATATGTACTTTTATACCCTTAGAAATAATCTGATAACATTGTCAGAGCAAAATACAGAACAAGAAACTGCAGGGATTAGATATCAAGGAGGACACTATAGGGACTGTGTTAATTGAGGCAATCAGCAAGATTAAGATAAGTCTTGCTGCTTCCTCATATTGGTCTTAATGACACAACACAGACCCCAAAGCACTTTACCTGCTGTACAATGTGGTTAAGTCTCTCTCTTCCCTGGGGTTTGTAATCTAATCTGCTAGATAAAACACTTAAGCAGACTCAAACCAGCTGGTGATAAAAGCTGTATTTCTAAGATACAGCAACCTGTGTGAGGCTTTAAAGTCTACTAAAAATAGTGAAAGCCAATAAAAGTTGTCATTTGGCGTGTATGTGCATGCACATGTATGTGTATGTGTATGCACACAAAGATATGTGTGTGTGTGTGTTCGTGGTGTGTGTGAGTGCACAGACTGGACTGACCCGGGTTGATGGTGTCCTAGCTTCAACACTGAGGCTTGCCCAAGTGATCCCCAGGGGATCCCTAAATAGCATTTCCTTGAATTTCCAATAGAATCCATGTGTGTGGATGTGACACAATTAAGCATTGCCATTAAAAAAAAGACTATTCCTGCTTCAAAAATACTAATTTTTCTTTTCCCCTTGCCCCAAGGCTTCTTTCTACAATTAAAATGAAAATACCTGTAGAATAAATGATTTTGCATAAATAGTCTTTGAATAATGGAACTGTTGACAAGTAAAAGAAAAGGCACTACTGAAACCTTTTCCAAATCAATTCTTGACAGAGTTCTTCAAACAGAGATAAACATTGCTTGTGTAATGATTTGCCACATGACCTTGCACTTGAAGTGCCAAGCAAAGTGAAAAATAGCACATTCAAACAAGAAAAAGTGCTGATTTTGATTCCCAAAATAATGTTTTTGTAGATGGAACTGTTTCTGCTATGGACTAGCATGCACATACAGAGAGAAAGTTAAGATTTTCCTACAGCAATATATGACATTTTCCTCTCAGCTAGATAACTGAGAGGCTATTTGGGCTCACTAAAAACACTTCTGCACATCTGGGAGCAATACAACTCAAAAGCAATTGTGGAGGAAGGATAAGTCTTGCAGTCGAGGGGGAGAAGAGTTCAGTTCAACCCTGTCCTGACCTCTGAGCCAGCCTCTTTCTGCCTCCAAGCTTCCCATTCCCATGAGTCTCTGTGAGTCAGGGGTTTCTATTTGACCAGAGACCCTTCCCATCTTCTCTGTCACCAGAGTCCTTGTTTTCCATGCATTTATAGAGAGCTAAGAGGCATTTGGGAGACAAGCAGGAGCAAATGAAAGTAATCCCCGATGGGAAGAAATCCAATGTAAGTGGCCTGCTGAATCCACCTTGGAGGCTCTGTATGATGGCAGTGCTAAAAGTGCTGGGTAAAACCTTCTAGGCATAATTCCTGGTGGCACATTCCCCACATCGCTGGTTTTTGGGATGGCGAGCACAGCACATCAGGACAGCAAAGCTGCTCTGCCTCTGGGTCAGGGAATGGCTTCATATACTGCACACACCTATGAGATCAAAACAGCATCCTTCACAGAGGAGAGATCCTTTGCAGTCCCAGTCCTGGCACAGATTGGTGTCCTCCTTCCACAAGGAAAAGTTCCTGCTCAAACAGGAAGAACAGTCTGCCTAGGGCCAGCTGCCATCATTGCCCTGATGGGCTGTGTAACTTCGAGTGCCACATACACTCAATAGTTAAAGACACTAGTTTCCCAAACTGGAAAAAAGTTGCAAGTGAAACTGAGTGTAAAAAATTTTCAGGCAGAAGCACATATTAAATGGCCAAAAAGCCATTACTTCACAGTAAAGGAGTTGAATAATATTGGTGAAAAGCACATTCTCTTTCAGTGGAAGAGTGAAGGCAGGAATAATGAATTAAAAAGCAATATGCAACATATGGCAAAAAGGGGGAAGTAATAAAAATCCATATAAATAAGAGTTTATGAGGTGTAGAAAATTGATAAAGGATGGAAAGACATCAGGAAAAACTTCCTGGCTGGTCAGACTTTGTTTAAGAAGAAGGATTTTCTTGAAAACTTATAAACATTAAACAGAAAAACTATCAATGCCATAGACTCATTACTAGCTAAAGACGGCCCAGTCACAATGAAGAAAACCCCCAAACTGTTCAACAATTATTTCTGCTCTCTGTTTGGAATAATGCATTTTCTGACACATTACTAATTAAGAAAGATATTGAACAAGTTTCACTAGGGTTAACCCATTTTTTAAGTTGTAAGGTCCACAAAAATGGCCCATGTGAGTCAATGCAGGGCATTTTTAGCTTGTGTATGTAAATTCTTAATATTAATATTAATATTTTGAATAATGGAGACATTCTCATAGTTCAGTGTCAACACTGTGCCAAAATTCAGATATAAATGAAACCATGCAGGTAAATACAGTCCAGTTTACTTGATATCAATATCAGGCAGAGTATTAATGGAAAATTTAATTAATAAGGAGTGATAAGAGAGGCCTATAATTAACAGGGCTGTACTGAGAAGGAGTTTGTGATTTCAGCCTGACCACCTCATATGGGAAGAGTGGTTACTAGAGGGTAACCAGGCAGGACCAATCTGTTCAGTGCAAAAGGCTCGAGCATGCAGGAGACCCAGGACCAGCACAACAATAAACAATGTTCTGCTTCCCTGCATCCAAGACAGATTCTATGATTTCCCTCTCCAGCTGTCCCCGAGCTTTGCAAGGGCTGAGTAACCTCCCCAGCCAGGGTCACACAGTGGTAGGTGGCACTAAGGAAAAGCCACAGGAGTCAAGGACAGAGTCTGAAATGACTTCTAGAGTGGAAGGTGGCTCCTGGTGGCAGGAGTAACCCAGATGGCCAGGGCAGTTGATGCAAGAGGGCTGGGGCTATAACAAAATACAGAACACCGAGACAGGAACAGGGGGTCAGTGAGGCAGGAGCAAAGGCAACAAAGGCAGTGGGAGCTGTGGGGGAGGATGAAGAAAGTTTGAATTTGTCAACAAGAGAGCATTTTCTGAAAGAGCTGCATCTTGGA